CAGGAGAATGGATAAATGCATTATAGCATGTTCACACAATGAAGTATGCAACATTGAAAATGAATAAACTGTGGTAGTATAACAACCTGGATGAATCCTAGAAGCATATTGTAAAAAAGTAAGTTATAGAAAATTACATATCACATGACGCCAGTTTTTAAAAGCTAACAAGCTAAATAATATATTGCTTAAGACAGAATTCAAATATTAGCTGAAGGAATGAAAAGTACAAAAATAGGAAAGGGAAGAATCACATAACTAGATGCAACAGTGTGGGTATTACTGTAGCTTTTAAGGTGGATGATAGGTTCTCATATGCCTCAGAACTTTCATGTAAGGTACATATGTCCTCCTGTATATGAGAAATATACATAGTATACACAAAGTGGGGGGAAATTAAATGAGTTCCAATCAAGTGAACTAAATAAAACAGGAAAAATTACAGGAGAAGTAAAACTGTAATAAATGACAGAAAGGATCCTGGGGAAAATAAATATACAATGTGCAGGACAAACTTGAGACTTCTTGCAGAGAGAAAACAGAAAAGAGATGATACTTGTGGAGAACTGAGGATGGAAATCTAACAGACTCCTGAAACAGAGACTGGAGCAAACAGAAAGAAATAAGATTAAGGCTTTATTTAAAGAACATTCTCACAGGTTGGAGAAAGTCCTTAGTCTTTCTTATCAAAATCACTCCCAAATACCAGAAAATTACTGCAGAAACCCACATTGACACATTCCTGGTAAAAGTTCAAATATCAAGGATAAAACGTGACTCCTATAGGCATCCTGGCAGAACATATGAGATAGAAAATAGACTAACCAAGCATAGAATAAAACTAATGCCTCAAAGTTCTCTAGAACCACAAACACTATAAAAAGTTACTTGAGTTTATTTGGGAAATTAAATGGATATGACTAATTAAGGAAAATTTGAACAAAGAAAGAAAAATTATAATGAAATGGACTTAAACCTGTAGATATTAAAATGTAATTTTTAATCATTAAAATGATGTGAAACTGATAAAGAAATAGGGTTCAGTGGAAGAAAATAGAAAATCCAGATGCGGAACTATATATATCTCCCTAATATGCAAATAGACCAAACAGTGGAACAACTGAACAACCAGTTGCTATGATGTGCGCTGACCACCAGGAGCTGCAGCAGAACATGGCAGGTGTCGACAGCCAGTGGCATGAAACATGGTGGGCATCGGCCACAGCGGGATGGTGGAGCGGGTGAGAGGGGGCACCAGACCAAGGCAGTCACTGTCATCAGAGCTAGCCTCTGGTGGTCACTGAAAATTCTTTACTCCCGCACGCTGCTAGGCACTCGCACCTGCTGCAGGTGCCAGCCCCGTTCGCACCCGCTGCTGGTGCCAGAGCTGTTGCTCACACACCACTGCCGGTGCTGGCCCTTCTTGCCCCCTCAGCTGGTGCCAGAGCCACCGCTTGTACCCACTGCCGGAGCCCAGTGCCAGTCCCAATAGCTCGGCGCCGTCAGCGGTTGTGAGCGGCAGCTGCCAGATCAGCGCCAGACCCACTCACACCTGCTGCTAGCTCCAGCCCCAATCGCTCCATGTTGTCAGCGGGTGCAAGCGGGCATGGGAGTGGCAACAGCTGGAGCGGGACTGCGGGCAGACAGGGGACCGGAGCCCATAACAGGAGGGGCTGGGCAGGGGCACGGAGGATGGGCTGAGACCTGCCTCTGTGCCCACCACAGCCTTGCGGCCCATAGTTCCCTTCAAGGTGCACGAATTCGTGCACTGGGTCCCTAGTATACATATATTTACATATTTTTAACCAGTATTATAGATTATAATATAATACATATATAATATGTAAATACATATGTAAATGTAATATATTAAAATAAGATATATCAGCTCAGCTGGTGTGGCTCAGCAGTTGAGCATCAATTACTAATATATTTATATAAAATAATTCTATATCATATTATATAATTCTAGAAGTCCACTGCACAAAATTTGTGCACAGGTAGGTTCCCCCGGCCTTGGCCAGCAATCAGGGCAGATCTGTGGGGTGACCGGTGGGCTTGCAGGCTGGGGACAGCTCCTGCATTGTCCTCCCCCTTGGTGGTCAGTACACATCATAGTGACCAGTCATTGGGCCGTTTGCTCAATTTGCATATTAGGCTTTTATTATATAAGACTAGAGGTCCTGTGCACAAAATTTGTGCATGGGGGGTTTTCCCTCAGCCCAGCCGGCACCCTCTCCAATCCGGAATCCCTCTCACAATCCGGGACCACTGGCTCCTAACTGCTCACCTGCCTGATCGCCCCTACTGACCCCCCTGCCAACCTGATCACCCCTAACTGCCTCTGCCTGCCAGCCTCGGCTCAATGATTGAACATCAACCCAAGAACCAAGAGGTCGCAGGTTCAATTCCCAGGTTGCAGGCTTGATCCCCAGTAGGGATGTGTAGGAAGCAACAAATCGATGTTTCTCTCTGTCATCGACGTTTCTATCTCTCTATCCTTCTCCCTTCCTCTCTCTAAAATCAATAAAAAAAATTTTTAAAAAAAGGGAATTACCTATGTCTGGAAGAATTGTTCTTGCTGCTAGCACCAAATTAAAAATAGTATTAAATGAAAAATTTTGTTTTGTATTTTGACTTGATGGTATCCTTTTCTCAGAGGCAGAAATGATAAAGGAAGGACTATACTGAGTTTAAATGTTCTGCTTTGAAATAGAGTAATTTCTCTTTAAATCTGCCAGCCTCATTGCCCCCAACTTATACCCCGCTGCCTGGTCGCCCCCATGTGCCCCCTGCCCCCCAGTTAAGGGCCTGGTCACCCCATGCAGCCTGCTGCTCGGTCATTTAGTCACCCTTCACTAACCCCCCTGCAGGCCTAGTTGGCCCACACAGGCTGCTGCTCAGTCATTTGGTCACCCCTCACTAACCCCCCCTGCTGGCCTAATTGCCCCATGCAGCCTGTTTGGTCATCGTTCGGTTGTGATGGTCACTTAGGCTTTTATATATATATAGATACTAGAGGCCCAGTTCACGAATTCATGCACCAGTGGGGTCCCTCGGCCTGGCCTGTGGGATCAGGCCGAAACTGATCTCTGACATCCCCAGAGGGGCCCTGGATTGCAAGAGGGCACAGGCTAGGCCAAAGGACCCCACCACTGAACAGTTGGGGACAGAAAGGGACCGTGGGAGGGCTCCAGGGTGTGTCTGGCCCATCTCACTCAGTCCCGATCAGCTGGACACCAGCAGCAATCTAACCTACCAGTTGGAGTGTCTGCCCCCTGGTGGTCAGTGCACGTCATAGTGAGCATTTGAGCGGTCTTAGCATAT